TACGAATTTAAACCCCTATTAGTCTCAAAAGTTTTTATAAGGGGATTTTAATGTAAAAAGTTAATCTGAAAAAAGATTTACCCGGGGTTTGGAAAAGCATATATTTTTTTTTAACGTTTTATAAATAATTTATTTATGAAGCTCGAATATTAATACTTTAAAAAACCCCAAAAAAAACTTGAAAAAATGCCACATTTAACGTCTTGACGATCTTTAAATTTTGGAGATACAAATGTAAAAAGGGAAGTTAAAAAAAGTATTTGAAAAAACCCCCAAATTTAAAAAAGTTATAAAAAAAAATTAGGAGTTTTTGAAAAAAATTAATTATTTTGTCGTCTAACTCTAACCAAAATAGTGTAAAACCGGAGTGATAACCAAACAAAGAACAAACATACAAGGAATAAACATGATATTATTCAATGTGCATATCATTGTTAGTACATTCCAAATCAGTTTTTACTATAGGTTAAAGAATTTAATCTTATATTAAATTTTCACATGCCACTAATATGGCATGCATTGCAGGTGGTAAGAAGCATTAAGAAGTTGAGCATGCCACGTGTAATTAAACAGATAATATATGCACTGCGACAGAGGCTATCATAGAAAGGTGTCTAAAAACATGTCTGCAAAGAAAATCCACTACATGGAAAACAAGTAAATTTCTAAAGCAACTACATTTTAATTGTCAATAGTAATTTAAATTTGAATCAGGTATACGACTCTTCTTCATTATTCGGGAATTTATTTTATCAAACCATCCTTTTCTTCACAATAAGAACTAATTTTCATCTAAAACAGAAATAGTAAATTTAGAATGCAGTAGTGTAAGGTTTTAATATTCGTGGATAAAGATTTTGTATAATTTTACTCATAAAAAAAATAAAACTCTGTATGCTATTTATTATTTTTTGAATTTTTAAATATTGTTATAGGTAATGGTAAGAGTATATAAATTTTCACTTGTAGTGGCTTGCCTAGCGACTTTTTTGGTAATCAAGAAATAAACCAGAATTTGTAATTAGTTTATTTTGGCTAAATCGGTGCAATAATGAACTTGTACATGAATTGTATATCAATTGCATGACCTGTACAAAATCATAATTCTTGAAAAGTAAACTATTTTGAATAAATAATACCAAAGGTTTTAGGTATCTGTGCTGCAATTTGAATTTTGAAAGTTAATTTAGGTCATTTCTGGAGTTGATTACATATACCCAAGATTTTGAACTCGAACCGTGTATTATTCTACAACAATGCAACCAAAATTGATATGTATTGCCTAAATGAAATAAAAGTTTAAATAAGAATAATACTTGTATCAATGTAGTACAGATTGCTACACGATGCATGACAAAAAAAACAAAACAAGAAAAAAAAACTTATTCATTGTGTGCTCGATCATCGGACAATTGATGTTATGTGTCAATGCTTCTTTAAGCTGTACTGTAGTTATTGTAAATAATTTATTTTGTGCTTATAATTGCATATAATGTAACATAAATACATAATATCGTTTGAGCAAGTACTGTTTATATCTTTAAATCATTGCTGATATATGCTTGTATGTTGATGTAAATGAATATTTCCTTTCCTTAACACTTTCCCGGTGATACTCATTACTTTTTATGGTAATTGGTGCATTTATGGTTTTTGCATTAATTTATTGTGTATATCCTATATAATTTTAACTCCATGTAATTTGAATTTCTAATAAAGATCAACTGTGACACTTAAAAAAGAAAAAATGTGCAAAAAATAAATAAGAAAAATCTCAAAATAAATGTATAAAAAGATCTTTGAAAAGTGTTAAGCTTTTTTAATTTTACTAATTTTACAATAAAAATATTATTTTAAAAACCGGGGTCCGGATTGGATTTTAAAACAAATATTTAGATTTAAAATTAAAACAAAAAAAATTAAAATTAGAACAAAAACCCCCCCGAGGACTCCCTTTTCTGAAGAGAGAAAATAATATACTTTATGGAAAACTAGGAACATGTACGCAAACATATCTGATGAACGTATCATGTCGCATTGCAGTAGTCATGTGACACTGTACTTAGCATGTGACCGAGTATTCTTCGCGTAGTAAAATACATAAGCAGCGGTTGCTATCTGTGTTATCTAATATCAAGTTTAAGTTTAGGTTTAGACAATCAAACATGGTAAGATTGTTTCCTTACATTTATTTTTTTTAATTTCATTTTTCTTCGTTTCATTTTAGTTACAAGTACAATCTTTACTTGATTACTTAATTATAAATATTTAGGCATTTGAAAAAAAAAACAGTAAGAAACACTATTTGCCAAATATCTTTTTCTATTTATGTTCGTTCGACTTTAAAATAGAAATTTGTCTGAAGTTAACTTAACAAATAAATTGTAGTACATATTTCGAGAGTTAAATTTATTAATTAAATTTTAATACATCTGCTGAAAGTTAACCTTGTGAAATAAATTAAAGTACATGTTTTGAAAGTTAGATTTATGAAATAAAATGTAGTACAAATTTTGAAAATTAAATTTATGAAATACATTTTTTACATCTGTTTAAGATAGATTATAAATCTTCTTTTGCATTTATATTGAATAAAATTAGTATCTCTAGCTACTTTTAAAAGTTAATTGTCATTAAATTTTGATGACATTTTACGGCACACTTTTTATTTGTCTATGCAGAAAAAAATCTGATGCAAATCATTTTTATTTGAAATAATTTTCCCTTTTTGACATTTCGATGTATTTATAATTAAAGCTGTTGGTTGTATTAAATGTTACAAGATGATAATAGGACAATAAATTGAGCAAATGTTTAAATCTTCCTTCATATCATCGCTTTGAAAAAAATATATTTAAAACGTCATGATATGTATATAATAAATTATTATTATGTTTATACCGATTTAAAAAACAATTATTACAATTCTTTATCTTATGTATTTTTGATTTTAATATGCCTTTCCTTCAATCAGTGCTTTTGTTTTACTATACCAAAACCACATTAAACTATGCACAGTTGATTTGGTCTGCTTAATATCATTATTATAATTCCAAGACTATAATAGTCTTTTAATAATGTATTATTATCTAGGATAACAAACGAAACATTGTTAAAAGGTAAAATACACCGTAACTACATTTGTTTTAGCAAAACCATCACACCGTTTTTGAATATTAAGAATACATTTGAACTGGATTAGAATGAAAGTTCCATGTCTGATATTTGTACAACGCTGTTGTGTTTGGTTTTGTTTTTCGTCAGTAGATGTGTACAGGTACAGCATTCTTAACGCTTTTCTATATCTGCTCATTAAAATTGCTTTTTCTGTTTTTTTTATTCAAAATGTACATTAAAAGTAAATGGTTATAATATTTGTATGATATTTGTATGACATAACAAAAATGATCACAATGAAATTATGTACGGTAAGAAAAGCAAAAAAGTCGTGATACTAGTTTACATGAAGCCCCAAAAATGTAATATCATTAGTTAATGTTAACTTAGAAAATTGCAATTATGAATGTATATGTGACTTCAGAAAATAGTCATAACATCTGGTTTAGATGAACTCAGAAGATGTGAACTGCTTGTTTTTAGAACTTTTATAATTTTTGTATGTTACATGTATGTGAAATAAAACGAAAGAAATACAAAATAATTATTATTTATTATATTTAAGATATTTCCATGCCAACAAGCTGATTAATATAATCATAGCTTAACATCGAATATTGTTGGATGGTGTTAGAGTACGAACGATTTTAGTATTTATAAAGTGATTATCTTGGAATATCAATAATGTAATTCAGGTTAAAAAATCTTATTTTTTATGTTTTTATATAAGATAATTTTGGACTAAATAAGAATATATTAAAACTGAACGAATTTTTTTATCATTTGTATTTAATTTTCAATTTTCAGTCGCTAGGACCTGCATTGTTGATCAGCTTTTTGCTACTGGGAATTTCAATTTTATATTGCGAGACAACAGGTAGTATAAATAAAGTGAAAATAGATATAAAAAGACAATTGTTGTGAAATCAATTTTATAAAACCTTCTGTAAATTTATGCAAGATAGTGTATAAGCTAATGATAATTTTTATTAAAGTCTTATTCATTTCATTTATCAATATTTAATCTTGGTAATAAACTAAGGGTGCATATACCTTATAAAAATTCAGACCTGGTCCATTATTTTAGACTTGGACGCAAGATGTACACCTCCAATTAATAATGCAGCAGATGAATGTACGGTAAAAGATTCGGAGTGTAATACTAATACGTGTGCTTGCAAAACCGGGTTTATTAAAGAAAATGGAGCATGCCCAAAAGGTAAATTCTCTCTTATATGTTGCATACATGTATAACGAATCTAGTAAATATGATTACAATAAAAAGAACTTATCCTATATGTACTTTCTTGTTTTATCTTTTAATATCGTTAATAACAATATACACTAGATTCTAAGACGTTATTGTCCTGTTTAAATTATGATTTTCGTATTTGCTGGATTGTATTGGATTACCTGCCGATTTCTGAAGTTAAATGTTATGATAACAATTTATAAGTTGATTATCCAAACTTAATATCAATACAAAGGAAGGCAGTCTTGTTTTTTTTAATCATATTCTTTATTTTCGTGTAAGTTTGGGTCATTTTCACAAAACAAAAAACAACATACTTTTATGTACATAAGGTAGTTTTATTCTTTAACCTTTGAAAAGGTAATTGCTAATGAAAATATGATAAGTAAATCCTGTAAATTTGGAAGTTTTTGCCGACATGTAGGCTACAGATTAGATTTACAAAGGAATACTCGTATACTTATTCATACAAAAAATGGTCAATCAACTTCAACAAACGGAACACATGCGTTAAACATGGTAAAAGCATATACATAGCAAATAAACTTTAAACAATGAAAGATGTTATACCTTTAAATTAATAATATAATGTACTACTACCCCGTTAAAATATTTACTTATATTACACTTAGAATAATCTATTTTAGCGTTAGGACAAGTTTGTGTTAACAAAGACGAATGCGTCTCTAATTCAAAGTGTGAGGGCACTGTTGGGTCTAAAACATGCAGTTGTATAGATGGCTTCGGTGATAAGGCTGGATTATGTTCTAAAAGTGAGTACACATTGTAGAAAAACATAATATATTTTTACCTTTTAACCAACATTCGACTAGCAATTATCGACTTTAATTTTTTTATTTTCATTAAGTATAAGGTTACAAAGTTTAAATTATCATGTGTCAAAAAGTAAGTTCAGGTTTGATTATATAATAAAAAGGAAGCTAGAACATGTAACACCGTTATATGATCACATTTCTAGATATTTCTAAATTCTGTATTCACAATGTGTACGATTAATGTTCTCCATTACCTGTAATTGAAGGGCGTTAGCGATCAATTGTATTACTAGAGCAGTCACTGAGAAAGCTTAATTAAACCAAGCATCAAGCAAAATTTGAAATTTAACCGTATTGGGCGTTATTTTGAGGTTGCCATTTCGTATATTGTCTATATTATTACTTTTACTTTTACTTCTAAGAAGCAAAACATTGCCAGTAAATTCAAATGGGTATTTAACTAACACCTTAATAGATAACGCCTTTGTCTAAGAAAAGTCACAAAATTAGAACATATTCAAACAAAAGTTATAATTAGAGTAAAATTCTAAATATTCTTTACATTTGATGATATCCTAAATATTCTTAATTTCTTAAAAATCAGAACAAAAAATCTATAATGAAGTACTTTACAACAACATGTATGTTTGAGCGCGCGTGCGAATGTGTGTACGTACGTTTGTATGTTTGAGGTTATAAATTTTGAAAATGTTCACAATTAAATATGAAGCACATTGCTTTACTCGATGAATATTTAAAAACGCAAATTGTTTTAAAATTGTAATGTACTTGTGGTATGAAAGGTCTTTGAAACCTTTTTTCAGTAAACAAAACACAATAATAATCTTCACTCGCGCGCGCACACACACACGATCGAAAAATAGTATCTTACATGATTATTGATTTATGATGTTTTTTTTCATATTAGTTCACAATATTGTGTATAACCCTAAGGTTAATATTCAAAAGTAATCATTACTACAGTTGTTGTTGTTTTTTAATTGTTTATTATTATTATTATTATTATTATTATTATTTCATTAGTATCTCATTTACTTTTGTACTTTTAGAATTGAAGATATTTATTCAATAACGAAAACGGTGTTATGCATCTGCTTGGTCTACATGTTGGTTGCGAAAGTGGTATTTATAAAAAAAATGACATCGTGATAGATTGAAAGATTTTAGGCTCACATTTCTCAAAGTATTTCTAACAACATGCGTGCTTCACAAATCCATGTGTACCAACAATATTATTTAATTTTCTATGACCGCATACCTGACAAAATACATTTCACAGTTACATCATCAGTAATTGTTCTTCAAATTGTAACGCAAATGTTCAATGCTTTCAGTTCTCGGAGGCGATTGCAAAGCAGGTGGTACATGTCCTGATGATTTAAATGCAGAATGTAAAGGTGATAAGTGTGTTTGCAAAACAGACTATGCTGCAAAGAATGACGTTTGTACACAAAGTAAATATGAAAAAAATATAATAGAGGCAATATTTTTGTTCTTGTTTTTCGTAATTTAGGTTCTAAACCTGTCAGAGTATGTATTTGCCGAGGTACAAAAAGAATACAATTGCAAAAACGTCAGATTTTGGTGAATTGTATGTTTTCTTTAAGTTATTACAAGAGTTATAATAGGGAATAATAGTTTTTTTTTGGCACATTTTTGTTCAGTCCTTATATAAATAAAGTTAACATACATTACATTTAATCATATTCATTTTTCAGAGATTATGTTGCTCTCTTGATACATATAACCGAAGGAGAGAATATACATTATTCAATAATTTTCAGCCGTCGATGGAATCGATTGCTCATCAGTTAAAACAGCATGTGCCACTATTCAAAATGCAGCGTGTGACGCAACGTCTAAGAAATGTAAATGTAACCCGGATTTCATTATGAATGTTAACAAATGTGACCCGAAAAATTCTGGTAAACAGTGTTTACTCTACATGTTCTTGTTAATCACAATAAGTTATCACTTAGATTGATGATAAAAATTATGATTAATAAATAAAGATTACTTTTAATTCTTAAAGCAGTTCTTCTTTAGATCTGTGTTGATAATAATACAAACTTACGTATCGATCTTATGAGTAAAACTGTTGTCAGGTGATTTAACCTAGCATTGGTACAATATACTTACTATCTACAGACATTTACAATAACAAGACAAAATAGATAATTATCTCTTAAACTTCATATGTAACGGGATATAATTCAGGTACATTAGATAGTAGTTACTAATGCTGTATTAATTTTAATAATTTCACAAGTTTCGCCTTGATATTAAATGTTTATACATTTCATAAATTAAAAAATATTCATGACATGTTCATTTAATAATCATTTTATATCATGTATCTTAGTTTTATCTCATTTTGATTATAGCTGCCTTGATGAAATTTGGTGTTGTTCTGATCGTACTGTCTCTTCTGACAGCTTTTAGTCTGTGGTGACAATGGAAAATATAGTAAGAACATCTTTGTATTATCACTTGTGAAGAGTATTTCGTAGCATAGCAGTAAGAAGTAGCTGTTTCATTTAATATTGATTCACATATTGCATATTTTCGTGACTATACTCATAAGTATTTTAAACAACAATATTAAATAACAACAATATCAATCTTTTTCAGGTTGTTTTAACAGAAAACTCAAGATTTAACAATATGGCTTTGTTCTACTTTTTTATTTTTGCTGTTGTTGATGTTGTGTGCAAGTGTAAATAAAACTGAAAAAAATGATTTTAGCATGCAAATACATAACAATATCTCTCTGTTACGTCCATATTTATTAAGTAACTCCATTGTTTCCTGAAATGAAAATTTATGTTGTATCAATTAAATTAAGCTATCGTGAATTAGAAGAACTTTAATATCAATAGAGTTTTAGAAATACTGTCCGTAATCACTGAAATACAGATTGTGAATAAAGGTAGAATGTCGAAGGTTATATATAAGTAATTAAATTGAATAAAACATGTTCAAAGGAAATGTGTACATATATCATAATAAATTATGTATATTTTCAACTTCTTTTGTTTGCCTTATAACTAGTAATATTCGGCAATTCGGCAATTTACATTTGATAAACGTCTCTTTTTCGTTTTCAGAAATAAGATTAATACTGACATCACAAATAACAAATCGTAAAAATTTGCATTACATGATTATAAATCTGTATTTAGTTCAGCAAATAGGTTGATATCACATATTATTTGTTGTCGGTTGTCTAGTGGAAACAGTTATAAATATAATAATTATGATTTCACAAGTTTTATCTTGATATTGAATATTTATACATACCATTCCCTTAAAAAACGACGCTGTTTCCATGACATTATCATATTATCATATGTTAAGAGGCCAACGACAAAGCTGCTCCAATAATAAACAAAGGTATCTCAATATATGTATTTATCCAAATAAAGTTGTTTAACAGATTGTTTGTGTTTCACTTATAAATATTGTAGTATACGCCTTTAAAAGAAAAGTAAATGATCCTTGGCTCAGATATTTTCCGCGTATGCATTATTGCCCCTTTAATATCACTATGACGTGGACCAAATGTGTAAACATATTTTTTTTTCCTAAATGAATAATTCTGAACTTAAAGTAAGGTTGTTTGCATTAAACCACCCGAAGGTGTCTTATTAATCGGACGACTTCGATTGATTTATGGTAAAATGGTATAAAAAAATTTCTGTTGGACCACAAAAAACTCGATACATAAAGTTAGACCCGTTGATAGATTCAGTTAAGAATAGATAGGAAACAAACGAAAATTTCTCAAATAACAAAAAGTAGATACATGGAAAATTGCAAGTTTGAGATTCCTTAAGTTTTGTTTGGTTTTTAGAAACATTTTTTAAGATTAATAGTTCTACGCAAGAAACGTTTTCTTCAAATTAGCTTGATAACTTACGGAACACCATTGTTATGAAATATATGTTCTCATAAACAATTCAGGAATTATGCTTTTTGTTTGTTTTCGAAGAGGTCAGTACGTATATAAAAAGTGAATATACATGTATTTTAATTCAAATGTAGAATAGAATTTATTAAAATAAAGACCATTAAAAACCATTGGTCAACAACCACTGCTTAAACTGAAACGTTACAAGTCCGAGTTGATTAAATATCTGGCAAAAAAGAGATCCCTAGTAAGCATTACATGAAAATTGCAAAACTCGGTTTGATTGAGTCTGTACATGAGGGTTAATGAAAACGTGTAACGTCCCTCACGCACCCTAGCGCACCAGTTGAGCAGTACTCAGTAAGGATAATCAAGAGTGACTGACAGTGCTTCCGTAAAGGAACATACATGTATTTTAATTTAAATGTAGAATAGAATTTATTAAAAAAAGGACCACTGGAAACCTTATAGGTCATCAAACACTGCTTAAACTAAAACGTTGCAAGTCCGAGTTGAAAAATATCTGGAAAAAAGAGAATCCTCGTAAGCATTACATGAAATTTGCAGACTCGGTTTGATTGAGTCTGTACATGAGGAATAACGAAAAGTGCAACGTCCCTCCCGCTCCCTAGCATCGGTTGAGCGGTATTCAGTAAGGATAATCAAGAGCGGCAGTGTTTCCGTAAAGGATTTATTAGGCTATGTGACATGACATTTTTTACAAAGATGTTTCATTTGATGTAGATCTAGACTAGTAACGCGTGATCGTTCGCTTATTCCATTTTTAGATGACTTTATTTTATTTCTGAGAGTAATATGATTTGTGTACGTGTTTACCTACCTGCAGTACATATTTGACCAATCAATCCAGCTAGTAAAACATGTAAAAGTAGAGTCATACGAGAACGGCTGACATGAAAGTGAGTCATGTTTACGTCTTAAACTAGTGAAGGTGCTAAACAATGAATAAGATAAAATACATACGGTATATTTGATTTGCAAACTTTAGGACGAACTTAATGCCCTGTTGTTATTATTTACACAACGATAATTAAGAAAACTGTTAAGGGTTAACTTATTAGAAGAATAATGTTAGTGGTAAATTTAGATAGTTATACTTAATTAGTATTTTAAGAATTTCCCCCAACAATTTCATTACATATTTGGTAAAAATTATAACATCTAAAATCAAAGTAAACTTAATCAGAATTTATAATGCACAAAAGATATTTTTATTTTATATTATAACATTGAGAATAAATCATGTAATTCAAATTGCTTTGATCAATCTACAGAAGCACGGAGACGAATTCAAAGTTCCAGACAAGGTGAATTAACCATTAATAAACAAAATGGATGGGTAGTCTACCTATAAAAGCATCTGTACGTGAAAAAACAAAGTTTTATTATAGTATTATATAAATATAAATATATTCACGTATTTCAATCAAGTCAATAATTGTGGCATTACATTCACTTATCATTTAATTTATCAAAATGTACTGATCTTTACTTGAAATATGACAAAGCATTTTCCTCAACAAAACAAAGAAATGGATACGTATTACGTTTTATTTAATGTAAAATAAAAAAGAAAAGACCTTTTATTTCATGTTGAAGATAAAATTAATGCAAACAGATCTCAATGCTTGCAAAATATGTTTTCTGTATGTTAACCTTTAAAGCCATGGGTATCAGCTTCTTTCCAAATGTATGAATAAAGATGATTAAAATGCCAAAGTTTTGTTTAAATGTTATTATGTTTTTCTTCTGCAGAGCTTTTGTAGTTTTGTAAGTAATCAATGAAAATAAAACGTCCCTAGCTGGATGAGCTTCAGCGATGAAGAAAAGTGGTTTAAAGAATATACAATGTTTAATACGATTGATACACTAATATCGTTACATGAAAAATCTAAATTTAAATATCATTCTAAAACTTAGTAATGGTAAGTCCAGAAGCCTTTTCACACATGTATATTCTACTCTTATTAGTATTTTTACATTGTTCTTCGATATAGAGATATCTAGGACATACCAGTTAAAACGTTGTCATAATCAATATACTGATTAATTATAAATTACATATACCGGTAGACATGACATGTTTATCATAAATACACATGTTAATAACAATAAACAGATGACAACGTGTTTCATTGCTTTTTTCAACGATTCGCTACGTAAACGTTGTCTTTATACCACTGGTAACATAAGTGCATGTAGTTGTCACGACTATTTAATAAAGCTCAAAGTTATAATAAGTGCAAAAGAATTTAAATTTGTTTCAATGTTAGCAATGCGTCAAGAAATCGTGATACTACTGTAAATATATATATCAACTGAGAGGTATAGAATACACAACATAAATATCTCCCAAAGAAATGCAATAATTATGTGTCCTCCTTTAGGTATGTTGGTATTCGTAGCAACTACGTACTAAGAGCTCATTATACTTAAACATGCTGATGTTCACCTTTTAAAAATGTCTGATAAACTACTTAAAAGAAATAAATTGTTTTGATTAGGACCACCGTTCATTTTAATGTACAGACATATATTAAGTGAATCTATAGAATGATAGAAAGTTTAATTTGAAAGTCTTTGAAGTAACCATAATGTAATGTCATTACCGATAGCACACTAATAAGGAATATTTATTGAAGTTTGTTTCTCAGATTCAAATGGTGTTTTATTGTATAAGTAGTTTGAATTAAAACGTTTAGGCCTTTGAGACTAATGATATGCAAACACTCACATGTCTCAAATGTGATTGAAACACACATCAAACATTTGTAAAAATCAGTCAAGGTCCGTTTTAATTAAACCAGTGTAGTCAACACAAAAAGGTCCTGTAAATAGGTCTTGTTCCCTTAAAATATATTTCTATTGTCATCTTTATCTATAATCCTCCGGATTGCCGATTTTGGCGCTATCATAATCATTTTAATTCATTTCATCTAAGTAAGAAAATATTTAGTATCTTTGTTTTATCTTTTTTATTGTTATTCTTATTTATTTATTTATTTTCTTATTTTTTTTTATTATTATCGTCCTTATAATATATTGAGGTAATACCTAGTGGCCATGTTCGAAAATAAATCTTTTAGCTTTTAATTAAAATCTTTAACAAAAGTTCGGTAATCTTGTCTTTAAATAGGATTGTTACCATGCTTGTCGATCAGCCTGTTTTCAGCCCTTCTACGAAAGATACAATGTACAACAATGCCTTTTTTGTAAGATTAACTTTAGTGAATGCTTAAGGTTGTGGGAATGTAACATTCAGTTACCTAAACCCGAACAAAATAATACATTTCAAGGGACTCCATTGATGTGTTTGGCATAACGGCAACGAAAATTACTTCTTCCGGATCAATGTTCCATTCGATGTACTCGTACGTACAGACCGAAAACTTTATGCAACATTTCAGTTCATTTGCTCACTCCGTTTTCCATATTAAATATAGGTATCGTGATAAAAAAAACTCCTAATTGAAAAGCGCAAAGAAGTGTAGCATGCCACGTGTAATTAAACAGATAAATTGAGATAATAAACACATATACGACAGAGGTTAACATCTGAATGTGAAGAAAAGTCTGTGCCACTGCATGGAGAACCAGTATAGGTCTAAAGTTACTATTCTATTTTTTTTTCAATATCTAGGAAATTTACATATCAATACATATGCTTCTCGTTTTAACTGTTTTTGAAATTTGTTTTACTACACCGACCCTTTTCCTCACAATTAAAACTTATTCTCATCTCAAACAGAAAAAAAGGTATTTAGAATTAATAATGTAAGGTTTTTATTTTCTTTGTTAAAGATTTTTTTAAAATATTTTTAGCATTTTTAACATAAACAAAAATGATTTTTAATAAAACCGTTTGTAAATTATAATGATGAAAGATGGATATTGTTCAGGTAATGATAACAAAATCAGCAATCTCAAATTTCATCTTAGAATCAACATAATTGTTTTCTGTTATCATTGGAAGTTTTAAATGAATTCTATGAAAATGTGTTCATTCTGTCTTTACCTATGTCAAATATATAAAATTGTAACGATCGTCTTCAGATATACAAGACTTCCCCTTAACACACTCTAGCTGATAGATAAGAGATTTAATCCAAAATTACATTGTCATCAGTT